TAGTGTTGACATGGGCAGTCAGGTACAACAGTAAAACTCTGGAGGTAAACAAAGTGTGGGCTCTAAAAGGAAGTAGTATTTTCTTATGGAAAGAAAAGGTCTTTCTTCAAAGACCTTACAGGTATTAATCAAACTCTTCAAACTGTGCACACAATACAATTGCAAAACAAAGTCCTGTGGTGTGTTCTATGGACATGGCTGCAATGACTTCAGTCTGTGGGCATCTTCAGGGATGATCACCCTGAAGTCTAGGCTGCTTTGAATAAAGTCATCCAGTAGAGGTCAGTGATGCACTGCTGTATGTACAAACCAGCCTTAATGTATGATAAATAGCAGGGGAAGCTCCCTTCATTTGCCGCAAAAGTGCAGGCAATCTAATACCCCAGGGGAATATAAAGAGGGTTTAGCATTTGGAAGACTTAAAATTAATTTGTGGAACAAAACAGCCAGAATGTCAATAAATATATTGGTGAAGGTGGGGGGAAAAAAAATTCCTGGGAGGGAAGGCCAAAATTCAAGTAATGCACAAATTGTATGTCCTATTCCATGCTTTAAATAACTATACTAATTTAAATAAACGGCTAGCATGAAGATTGGTGATGTTAACAGGAAGATTTTTGTTTAGGAGGAAAAATCAGTCCAGCCTGAAGTTCCAAAGTATGAAGATGGTGGGTTTGTGGGTTAATTAAGAAATGGTGTTCTTGGTGCACAGTGTAGTGTGTAATGGTTTATGACAGAGAAGCAGAAATGATAGGATGGTCATCACTGGCAAAGAAGGAAAGGTATGGAACAGGAGACAGGTGCTGCAATCTTCTGTAAAAACTTGTGGAAGAAAAATAAAAGTTAGATCTTTTAGTCTGTCACTCTAGCCTTTTTGAATCCCTCAGTTACCAGTCACGGAGTGGAGTTCCAGAGGAGCAGGGAGGATGAGGCTAGTGTCATGTTGTATAGAAAGTGAACAAGAACTTCACCCTCTTCTTCAAAGAAAGAGATAATTCTGTGTGGTCTCTTCAAACTTAAATTTTGGTTTTGTTTTTTAAAAACAATATACAGCCTATGAGTAAGAGGAGGATGCTGGATTTAGGCAAGTGCACCTGGGAAATGAACTTCTGATGAATGGATAATTAAGACCTTTTGAATTAAGAGAAAATGGCCTCAAGTTGTGCCAGAGGGGGTTTAGATTGGATATTAGGAAAAATTGCTTCACTGAACGGGTAGTCAGGTACTGGAACAGGCTGCTAAGGGAAGTGGTGGAGTCCCTGTCCCTAGAGGTATTTAAAAGACAGGTAGATGTAGTGCTTAGGGACATGGTTTAGTGGTGGAGTTGGCAGTGTTAGATTTATGGTTGGACTTGATGATCTTAAGGATATTTTCCAACCCAAATGATTCTATGATTGGTTCCTTATCATCTCACCTCACAAGGTGTGAAGGAGCCAGAAGTTTGGATACTCTCGTTTGGGTGCACCTGTTTCTTTACAGAAGCAGCACTGGCACCTTTAGTGTGTTGGAAGCCTTAAGTCTTGGATGGAACTCCTGCCTAGCAAGCTGTGGTGTACCCTGGCAGCTTGGAAAATGGAGCTGAAGCATCCTGTTTCCTATTCTTTACCATGCAGATCACTCAAAGGGGGAAGTCTGCTTTCCAGCCATCCGTTTGCTGTGTTGTTAATAAACCAAATGGGGAACTCATCCAGAAACTTGATGAATTTCCTGCTTATTTCTGTGATGCTGCCTGGAGGGGTGTGTGTTTGAGCACCTTTTTTTTGTCTTTTTTTCTTTTTTTTTCTTCCTTTCTTGAAGTGCTTTTAAACAAAACTTACCAGAAAAGAATTTCTGACCAGTTTAGCTTTGGGTAGGAAAGGTCTGGTTTTTTAAGCCTAAGTCCATATTTGAGAAAAGAGGCAGAAAGCTATTAATGGAGCTCTTTTCATCACTTTTGGACTGCATAAACTGGTAGGAATACTAATTTTGGTGCCAAGTCTAAGGAACTCCAGGGAAGCAAACAGGACAGACCTGAGCAGTGTCTAAAAAGCGTATGACTCTTGGCTTCGTTTTCCAGCTAAGAATGAACTGAACCTTTTCAAAGCTCTTGTCCAGTGCAAACAGAATGCCGTGCCTAGCTGTTTACCCAGACATGCTCTGCCTAAGAGTCAAAAATCATTGTCCGTGATCAGCCCTGACAAAAATAAAGAGGAAGCGTTAGAACTTGCAGTACAGAAATGATTATCTGGAGTTAATTGCTGAAGCAGTTCACTGAAGAGGAGAAAGTTAATGCTTGTAGGAGTTAGCTCTGCGTGTGCACATGCATGTGGATTGTTGTTGGTGGTGGTTTTGTTCTTCCCAATTCAAAATATGGGTGCATATTCTGGTTTAGAAGGTTCACTGTCACCTTTACCAGCTTCAGAGCCTCTGTTGATATCTTACCTACTCCCAAGTTATTGGAAATCCTTTGATTTAATGTACAAAGTCCACGGTGATCTGAAGGTATTTGTTTCTTCTGACTGTTGTGCTAAACCAGGAGCAGAACTGCTCTATGCATTTTTTGGCTACTGCTAAGTGGCCACTGAGTGCTCCTTACCTTGATTCTTTTAGTGGGGTTGCTCACAGGATAAGGTATTGCTGCTCTGGGTTGGTGTCAGAAACATCTACTGGGAAGCTGTTTTGTTTGCTGGGAAACAAATGTTCTCTTTTCCACTACTTTGAGTGGAAGAAAGGACATCAAAGTAACTTGCAGAGCAGCAGATGTTTATGACCTCTTAATAAAGCCATGATAAAAGTGGTAGAGCTTATATTTGCTGTATTTTCTTGGACACAACTACATGGATGCTGAAGTAAAATTTTGATTCTTTGGAAGTTAATGGTAGATTTAGTAAGCCAGTTCAAGCTAAAGATCTGAGGGCCCAGTGAATCTCTGCTGAGGTTTGACTTGTTTCTGTACAGTTAAGTAGGAACTGGGTTGTCTTTAAATAGGTCCCTGCAAACTTTCATCTTTGATTTCAGAATACCATGGTCTAAATGTCTCATTCTGAGCTATTTTCTTTGGGGAGGAATAGGTGCTTCCATCAAAAGACAAGATGGATTGCATACTTGGATGCCTAAAAAAGATTGGACAAATGCACCTGAAATGCTTAGTTCTCCCCTCTTTAAAAGAGAGCTGAAGACGATTGTCTCAGATGTGCATGTTGACAGGGTAGGTGAGATGAATCCCACTCATTTGGTTTAGAAAATCTGGAGGAGGAAGCGTAATATTTTTATTTGATCTATGGACTCAATCCTTGTTGACAGGAATGAGCTCTAAATAAAAGGATGGTTTGACAAAGTGAGAGTGCATTATCACACGTTGCTCAGCAGATGGCCTGGAAAGAGGAGAGAGAGAAAAAAGGCAGAGGCAATGATCTACATCCCCTTTTCAATTAATTTAAAATGCAGCTTGAAAAATATAGATGACACCTCCTGCCACTTCATAAAGCAACTGAGAGCTGAGGTCCGGTTGCTCCCTGTCTGGTTTGTTTAGGATTGCTGATGTAAAGGTGGCTGCAGGGGGTGAGGAAATGCTGCTGCAGGGTGTAAGTGCTGGAGCTGGACTGGAGAAGCGGTCTGGGGCTGACATCCCGGTCTAGTGGCTGGCTGCCTGCCCTGCTTCGTAAGGACTGAGGATGGTGTCTGTCTCTGGCTGCTGTAGATTGTGACAAGCATATGGGGTCCCATCTCCTTTGAGGTCTCTAGATGCAAAAATAAATCCGGTGTTGCTGTCTGGATACATGGAGGGGCCTGGGCAGGTATATTAAAGACTGAGGTGTGGCTGGGAGTGGAGATCATCTGGGCCTGTATAAATAAGTTCTGCCCATTTAAAATGCACTGTCCTGTAAAACCCCTAATGAAGACTGTCATGTGTTCCCCAGTCACGTAGGAAACACATGATGGATCACTGGTTATTTCTATATACAGTTATATGATTTGTGAAATACAAAAATACACTAACTTTTTGCAGGCTGTACAGCTTCTCTGTTTGCTACCGCTTTGCCACCCTCCAACGGGGTGGCAAGTGTGATTTCTTTATCATGTAAAAAGGCATCCAAAAAGAAGCCAAAGCTTCAGAAGTAGATTGGCAGGGAGAAGAAAGGATTTTTTGTTTTGTTTTGTCTCCTGCTGGTAATCATTAGCTCAATTTCTTCCTCTCTTCAGGATGAGCAATTTTTGCTGAATAATAACCAAAGGCTCAGAGGAGCTCTGGCTTGAGGTAACTGACAGATTTAACCATGATAATGGGTACGTCAAATAGGTTTAGGTTGATCATGATCAGGTAGTTTAATCCCACTTAATTTCTGTGGAAATTGCTCCTCTAAGTGACTTTTAACAGTTTTGAAAATGGCTTGCTTACTCTGGACTTTCAAGGGTTTCAAACTGTAGAGACTTTTTCTGAGAAGGTCATATGTCCAGCCCCAGCAATAGTGTGTACCTGAACGTTCATTTCAAGCTCTGGCCGCTCAGTTTAGTAACTACTTGAATTTTCTGACATTTGCTCTGTAGTCATTACCTATGTAGGGGTACAGGTTTTTTAGGAAGGACTCCTGGCTGTATAGAATGTGTTTATTTATTTCTATACAGTTAAACAGTGTTCCTGTGGTGAGGCTTCATAACAAAAGAGCTGTTGTTTGTAAAACTAGATGAAGTATATTAAAGAGACCTCTCTTCCCATTAAATATGAGTATAAAAACTCTTGCTGGTCCTGCACCAGTGAAAATAGGTTTGAAGTCGTGCCAAGCTTGCGTCTAGGAGTAGATAGATCTTAGAGATGTCCAAGCTTGAAGAGAAGAAAAATGTTGTAAGATGGAGGGAGGAAAGAGAAATGACTGAAACTAACCTTTATATTTTTTGAGTATAAATATATGCAGTGGCACAGCAAAAAGCATAATAGTACTGGGCTGTTAAGAAGCTTTTTAAAAAATTAATGGTGTTTTAACAATGATAAAGTACTTAAATGTGTATGTTGTTTCTGTCAGCAAACAAATGAAAGAGCTGGAGGAGTCGGGATTCCTGAAAGGAGCTTTGAGTGCGGAGCAGCAGTTGGCTCTCATTAGCATCTGTACAGACCTAAAGGCAGCAGTAGAGGGTGCTACTTTCATTCAGGTAAGCAAAGATTTGACAACTGCTAGCAAACAGTGTAGAAAGATGATCAAGAGCTGTGCTGTGCAATCGATGGCCAATGGAGAGTTCAACATCCGGACCACATAAGGATGGTTGTGCTTGTTAAAATTAAAGTTCTTTCTAGCCTAGTAACCTGACATGGGAGATGATGCCTCTTTGCAGGATTTCCCTACTCGAGAGTCCTTCCAAGTTTCTTTTTGGGTTATGTTGGAAGAGGCTGGTGGCTGGCTAAGTCAAGAGGGAATTGCTGACCTCCATGTGTAACAAAGATGGTACATGTTAGAAAGACGAATGTGGCGCAATAGGGGGCAGGAGATTCTTGCAGGAGAGACTATCTCTTAGGGAACACGACACATTCTAGTGCTGGGACTAAAACATGTTTCTTCCTCTCCAGGTACCTCGGGAAGGCAGGGAGTATGGCTATGCCCAGGGGTGACTTCTGTTCTGACTTGGGGGAGCACTGTAGCCAAAAGCAGCTATCAGACAGTGTTAGAATATTAAAAACAGGGTTGATATATAGGGCTGGAATCTGCTGCTAAGTAAAATTGGAATGGGGAACAAGCTCTATTACTGAACCTGATAGTCTGTGGCTGCTTAACTATTAGTATGCTCACTGGCATGGGCATAGTTCAGGGAATAGGTGAATTGGGGGCCATTTCTGGGATAAAGTATGAATGAGTTTGCATTGGACTTGGCCTGTTCTACCCTACATGGTCGCCCAGTATTATTCCAGTGTTGTACCATTAAATGTCACTACATGTATGTGTGCTGCACCTAAGAGTTTACAGTTTATACTGTTTCAGGCTGTAAATCCCACAGTCTGCTTAGCTGCAATGTGTCCCTAATAATAAATTGAATTAAAAGGGGGTAGATTTCCAGACCTTTTCTTCCTCCCAAGTGGGTGAGGTGGAGGGGGAGAAAATGGGAGGCAGAGCAAAGCCTCACACGGGAGTCAAGGTGTGAATGCACTATAGATTTTTACAGTGGTATACTATTTTGTGTTCACTTCCTTTTCTCCAGATCATGAAACTATATACTGTTACACCAATATCTTACTCCTCCATCAGTAACTAGCTCAGACCTTGTCAGTTCATATTATTGTTTTCACATATGTATCGCTTACCTCTACTGAGTTTAATCTGCAAATTTATTGTCTAGTCATTCAGTCCTGTAAAGTCCTTCCACAAATGTTTGTGGTTGTAATGATGACAACAGACTTAATTTTATGAGCTAACTTTCAAGTCATTTATGAATGGATATAACAAAGGGCACAGATATCTGTGAAACGGCACTGGTCAGCATCTTCCACTGAGTAAGAACTGACTGTTTTTCCTACCATCTGCTTACTAGCTCTTTACCAGTTACTGTCCATTTTATCTCGCATATGACCAGTTAACTTCCTTGAAAGCTTTTATTATTTTTTGTTGCAAGACGTCTGGGCATTCACCCCAACTGCATCAGCTATGTGACTCCTGTGCCTGTGCTTGCTGCTTCCTTTAGAGAATTCTACTAGGTCTGTGAATCAGGACTTCCTCTGAAAAAGTTGTTTTGATTCTTCCCCATTTATGTAATACTCACAGTGCTACCCTTTTCTCTTAACTCACTTAATAGAGACATAAGGCTTACAAGCTTATTGCTGGGACCTTTTCTGAAGTTCCCTTAAAAGTTGTATCGTGCTTGCCACTCATCTGCTCTTTGGTACCAAAATAGTGTGCATTCAGTTTTGTTTCCAGTGAGCAGTTGTATATCACTGTTAATGGGTTGGGTATTCGAACCATATCAAAACATGTTCTGGTTCCCCCCTCCTCTGTTCTATGACTTGAGACAGACCCTGGGAGTCCCTGAGACTAAGGCTTCTGATTTCTTCCAAGGATTAGAAGGAGAAACAGAACAGTTTCAAAAAAAAATCACTGTTCTGTGCGTGTTTTCCAGATGATCATCCTTCTGTACTCTGATCATCTTTTGGTCCTATGGGTTTTCTTCTCCACGCATTTTGAAGAAAGGGAATTTTTTTTTTTTAATTACTCCTTGTGTAGATTGCTGAGGGAAGGTGCCTGCTTTGTTTTGTCTTATTTTGACAAATTAACAATCCTACATGGCCATGTTCCTTTGGATACTGCCTCAACTTTGTGAAGGCTGCCTTCTTGTTTCAAGTAGGTTTTCCTAGTTCTGCCTGTTTTCTTTTGCTCTTTCAAGTGTTTCTTACTACCTGGTATGTCCATATGGTGTCTTTACTTTCCCTGTATGCTACCTGTAAGGATCTTATCCCTCTTACTGCCAGCTTTGTATCTCCTTAGTATCCTCACTTTTATTTTAGTATCTTCTTTTGAAGCTGAACACAGCTGTAATGGAGTTCTTGGCTCTTGTTGCTCCTACAGAGATGTTGAATCTTAGTATGCTATTGTTCCTCTTGGAGAGGCTTTTCAGCAGTAAGATTTTTGAACAAGGTCCTGCATACTACTTCAGACTAAATCAGGGGCTGCATCATCCATCCCTTCCGCCATCAGCTGATCTATGAAACAGGCATCAGGTGCATGTTGCAGAATCAAAGTAATTTTGAGTTGGAAGGGACCTGTGGAAGTCATCTGGTCCAACCTGTTGCAGGACCAACTTACATCAGCTTGCTCAGGATTTGTGCAGTTGAGTTTTGAGTATCTCTAAGGATGAACACTTCTGGTCTCTTTGGGTAATTTGTTACAACATTTGACTACCTTGATTGTTAAACTTCTTTCCTAATATCTAAATGGAATTTCCCTCCTTGCAACTTCAGGCTCTTGTCCTTTATCCTACCATCATGGACCTCTGAGAAGAATCTGGCTTCTCTGTGTGTTCCCTTCAGGTAGTTGAAGACAGCAGTGTTGTGTTGATAGTCTCTGAATAGCAACAATCTACCTGGGGTAACTCAAGCTTTCTGGTACTAATTTATGTTCCCTTAACCCTTTTGATGTCTCTTAACATGTAGTCATTAAGCATATAAATAAATTTAAAAAAAAAGAAGTAGCTGCAGTATGCCTGTGGGTAACAAATCGTGTGTATGAAACATTCTTGGTGGTATTCATATCAGCTCATCAGTTTCAAACCATAGCATCAAATTTTGGTTTGATACAAAGTGTTAACAAATACACAATGTAAGTGGGCAAATTTATTTGAACGAGGCTTTAATTTGCTCTTGGAAGGGGAGTGGAGTAAGTATAAAAGAATCTTAATTCTAGGCTCACAGCCTTATTTCAGCAGTGAACAGACTGCTTTCTGGCTGAACCTTATTAAACTTCAGAAACATTGCCTAGTGCAGCTTTGAACCTGGAAGGACAAAATGGACTAATTGTAACTTATGAGTGCAAGTGTTCTGACTTTTACTTAAAAAATAAAACATCAGTTGCATTAAAACATCAGTTGTATTCATGTTAGTTGAATATAGAGGACTCTATTTTCTTGCTTAATGACATAACCTACTGATTAACTTGTTAGAAGCTTCCATGAGAACTGTATTTCTTTACCCTAGATTTCAGTTGGTTAAATCTTAACTTCTTCTCAAATTTGGCGTTTGTAGAGTAAGTCCACTTCAAGCTTTAAAAATTTCCTTGATGTTTGCACTCCTTGAATTCTGCAGACAGTTGCCTTCCAAGTTGTTTTCATGGGACTCAACTTAAAACAAATGGGATGTAGTAGTAAAAAGTGGAACTTCTTGAATGACATTAGTGAGGATATAAAAGTGAAAAAAATGCAAGAAATAATTGGAAGGACTGAGTAAGAAGAAAATTCATAACGGTAATGTGATGAACCTTTAAAAACAAGGTATGCCTTGATGCATATTATTTTCTGTATTCTCTCTCCTGAGCATTTTTATAAAGTAACTTGTCTTGATTAGTGTGTTTGCATCAACTTCAGAAGGAAATCAGTCTTGTTTTTTGCTCTCAAACTGAATATTCACCCAGTTTCACTCCTCAGAGCTTTTCTATGCTATTTAGAGTAAGTGCATAACCTATAGTATTCAGGTGAATGTGCACTGCAAGCTTCTTGCATCACTAAAAGCTTTAATTCTGAAATAACTTTTCCATTAGCTGAAAACTCCATGGAGACAAATTAATGGATACATTTGTGCTATAATGTCCCTGGCATGGGACTATCATGGGTGAGGTAAATGTTTCTTAAAATTGTGCTGTTAACTTTCCTGCATAAATATATGATGACTTTTGTCTTTTGTTCTTATGTAACTGTTGGGTACTGAACTTAATACTCCTTTCGCTATTAAAACCAGATTTGAGTGGATGTGTGTCTAGTTCCTAAATAACACAAGCTGAATAGAAATCGGCATAGCACTTGTATGGTCTCTTACCACAATGCCAGTAAAATTAAAACATATCTTTTTGAATGCTTTGCTTTGGAATAATTTACTAACAGGATAATAAAGTTTACTAGCTCTCAGAGGAGGGTAAGGTGACTAACTATTGGTAAGATCTTACTCTTGACATTTGAGCTACCGTGTACGCTGGTGAGTTGTGAGGCCTGGCCGGGCTGGTTGAAGCCAGGCATGGAGGGTGGCTGAGAGGTGATCTCTGAACCCGTCAGCCATGCTGTGGCATGGGACAAAGCAGGCTGGCAGGGGGATGAAATTAAGCTTGTAACTTACACCTTATGGTCTGAGGTATTTATCCTTTTTCATTTTAAAGGAACACTGCCTAAAAGCCTTACAACAGTATCTTCCCCCTGCCCTCTTTAAAAAGAGAGGTTGTGCCCCCCCATTACACCTGCAAACTCTTTTTAACTGGTGATAACAACACTAATGGATCTTCAGCCTAGTCCACTTTAGATCTTGCTGGCTCTTCTATCTCTCCCAGTTAGACGTATTTAGAAAAACAGGGTTACCAGCTTAAAAACAGGTTTCAAAAAGCCTAGTGGTGCCTCAGAAGGGGAAACCAGCATTGACTTGGGAGCCTTGACAGTAGGTGTCTCATGTCTCCTGTCATAAAAATTTGCCTCTG